GAGCATGTTTGGTGGGACTGGGATTCGAACCCGCGACCCGCAGATTGCGAGTCGAAGCTCCCTAACCACCTGGTCATGCCGGGCCTGGCAATAGTCATGATATCAAGTATGTCACGATATATTTTGTAAACAATCTCTAATGATAATTTTACAACGAGCTCCATTGATTGATTGATTATTTATGGAGAAATATTTATCATATTTCCAACTGAAATACTTTTCTTAATTTATTCAATCAAGATCGTTATTCGCTGACCTGAGTAAGATTTTGTACCAAACGATCCGAGGTTGATGTCCTTTCCGTCTTCCCGCCGCCAAAATATTTTAGGTTTGGGATAACCAGTGGTTGTGCAGTGCAGACTGACGGATGACCTTTCGTTGACCATCACATCCGAACTTGTTCCATTTTCTAGAATTGTTGGAGGTACTATGGAGAAGAAGACAAAAGTCTATACAAATTATCTGAATGAACATATATAGATATATAAACAAGTAATATTTTGTTGAGCAACAACGAATGTCAATTTCGGCTTAGTTTTGGTGGCGTGTGTTTTTTTCTTCCAGTTTTCAATGAGTATGTTCCTTGTTAAGGCTGATACGTCAAACCCCTTCCCATGATTTCATGAAATGTTTGTCACTCAGAATGAAAGTGTTGTTCTCTTTACAGGAAGTTCTAGTGTTTTATTATCCAAATATGATGATTGATCTTTAATGTTGGTATTTTCAGTCTCTGCGTCACTCTTAGTATTCAGGTATAGCCGATCGTAAATTTCAACTACTGGTCAAAAGGAACGCAAATAAACAATAGTATTTGCTGTCACAAGAGCGTGAGCGGCATCACGGTGTGAGTATTAGACTTTCTATTCCGCAGCCCGACACGTTTAATCCTAGCAGCCTTGATATTTACTATAATCATATTTCGCGCAAATGTTGAAAAGAAAAATAACGAAGGGAATCATAAAAGAAAAAAAAAAGAACTTTCTAGAAATTATGAAATGTTTAAATAAAAAAAAGGCATTATTTTGTTTTCATCGTCTTCTCTTTCCATCGAATTTTGAATAAGATTCGATCCAGGTTCTTCTATTTAGGAGTCTGATGGTCTGAGCTGTATACTACGACTTCTAATGCTGTTGTTTCTTCAGCACTGGTAAATAGGTTTTTCCAACTTGGATAAATTAGACATTTTTCCATCTGGAATATGAATGGTTGTTTAATTTCCTTTTTCTTCGCGAATTTAGCTCATGGCCCTTTAATTTGATGTATTTTTTTTATATTAAGTGAGTTCCTTCGATGATATGTTGTTCTGACGATGATCTTTTAGAGTGTCAATGTCTAACGTGGTGTTCGAGTTTCTGAACCACACACAGACGAAGATTTAAATATACCCCATTATTAATGCGTTTTAATAGTTATTATCGAGGACTGGAATGTACCAGTTGAGATCTTAGGATTTTTTATATTTTTTAACCAGGTCCTGTATCGTCTTGCTTTAAAAAGCTTCTGTTTGGAATATTTTATTCTAGAGGATCAGTCCCTTCTTATTCATTTCTCAATTAGGGTTTCGTGATATACCTTATTTATACTTTGAATTTACAGTCTCTCTCTGGAGAATGGTCAATTTATTTTTTTTAGGTTCTGTCCCACGGTGGGTCAGTGGAAGATTGCGGGCTTACAACGTAAAAATCCAGAGTTCGTTTCCCCTCGGTGGACAGAGAGAACAAATAAAATATTCTGTAGCTTTGCGCTAAAACAACAGCTACAGTCTGTAGGTCATGTGAGGGATTTAATCTCTCGTGTCAATCGTGTTTCTACACGTGCTTCTGTTTAGTTTTATTATCTCTTCTTGTTTCCGTTGGGTCAAAAAAACGGAATATATTTTATAGTAAGTTGATTGTTAGGTTTTAATTGTCTAGAAACAACGGGCGACGTTTAATGGTTCTAGCGGTATCCAGATGGTGGTGAAAGGCTGCTATTAATATTTAATTATCGTTCATTAAAATACATTATCGTTGTTATCCAAAAGAAAGTATTATCCAACGATGACGAGAGATTGAAGTTTCGTAAGATAAAAAGTTTACTTGTATAAATACTATCAGGGGAAATTAAATCAATGTAGGTAGAATAATATTATGATGTTATAGGCAGAGAAAAGAATAGGCATACGATGAATAGTCTTGTACGTATTTGTTATAAAAGAAAAACATACGTGTGTGTTTATAAACATCCATAAAGGTTCTTTCTCTAACTTATTCCGTGCCAGTCAGAATGAAAAAAACAAAAACAACTCAAATTATATATGTTGATGCTATCTCGCTCATTTGATTCGACCCACAAGGGAAGACGATACGCCACCTATAGTTTAACAAATAATGAAAAATCGAATATAATAAAATGTGTGTTTGCGAAGTGTTAATGAATAGAAATTATAAAATATTGAAAAGTGGTTGACCTAAAAAAAAAAAGAGTTGAAACAACATCGTCACAGAGCGAAACCACCAGGGGTCTTTGTAATGCAAAACTAAAAGTTTCAGTTAAGCCTCAGGAAGTTGTCTTTAACATTTACACAACATATATAAATCATATCAGAAAATTCAATATCCACAATAAAACACTCCAGGGAAATTAATTTAATGGAGACATTGTGAATTATCTTTGTGTTCGGAGCGGGAAAAGTAATGAGAAACATTAAATTAAAGTAAATTAAGAAGAAATGCCTTAAGATTCTAAAGAAATTAGCATATAGCGTAAATTCTGAAAAAAACAAAATCCACTTTTCTCAAGTACTTATTATGAATAGTATGAATGTTAAATAATTCATGTACAAACTTGATGCACCAATATAAGTTTTAATGCACAGATTGGATTACTATTTTGAGCACATGTTCAGAGACTGAGAAATACTAGTTTATTACGTGTATTTTTTTTTACATTTTGCACCAAGGTACACAGGAGATATGTAAGCATATCCATCTATAATTTGAAAATGTGGTTAGTCAGCTTGCCCACATCGTGAATTCGAGGATTCAGGGTTCGTGACCCTTAGCCGCAAAAACGCTCTTGTTAATTTGAGATCGTGGATACTCTATAATATTTATAGTTAATTTCACGCTATTCGATCAGACAATAGTAGTCTAAGGGTTGGCGGTGGGTTCTATTGTCTAGTTACTTCCTCCCAAAATTAGAAGCTGCTGTTTGCAGGTAACTATTTCGTGATTTTGGGCGAAATAAAATATATATATATTACAATATAATGAAAATTTGTTTAAAAAGTAAATGTTACAACAACACAAAAAAAAGCAACACGGCGCATAAAGTGAAACTGGTTTAATGTCTCAAAAAAGCAAGTATTTTAAATCAAAACCTTAAAAAAATCACGTATTAAACAACTTGGGCCAGTTATAATATTTTCAACTTAAACAAGAACTAATCAGCCATGTCAGAAACTTATAACGGTTACGTACAGCCGTCCCAAATTTTGAACTATTGACCTGAGAGAATACAGTCAGCCATCAGCACCTGCTTCCACAAAGGCTATGTCCGGCCTTGAAGGGAAAAATTGGAATGAAGGTCACTCCGATAACACACACAGCTGAGAAAATGAAGAGTGTTCCTTAAAATTGTGTGCGAACCTTGACCCTTTTGAGAACAGGGGTCACCTCAAAGTGAAATTCAACTAATGGTTCTAAATCGCCATCCTTTATCGCATAATAAAACCATATTTAAATTAAAGGTTCTGCCCCACTAGCCTCACGACAATAACAGCGTATACTAAAACCATGTTTAAACTAAAGGTTATGCACCGCTTACCCTCAAAACAATAACAGCGTATAGTAAAACCATGTCTTGATCATTTTCTTTGATTAATAAATTATGTTATAAATGATAACAAGAATTAATTGCGTAAATTTTTAATCTAATGATATTTTATGCCATTTGGATCGTCATTAATTTGATAATTTGTTTAGATTTCTCAAACACAAAATTTAAACCAATTTTATTCAAGAGAGATGTGGAAACATTTATCAAGTATGAAAGAACAAAAACGACAAATTATGCGAGGAAGTTTTAAGTAGGAGTATTTCAGTTTATTTTACTGTTTTACGTTTTAAAACAGCTAATTGCAGATTCAAATATTTAAGAAAGTACAGAGAAGCCCAAAATAAGTTTCTGTCAGCAAAAATGAAATTCAAGTGAAAATGGGTTAAAATAAAATCTGAAAAAAAATTCGCTGCATGTAAATAAACTCTTAAATTAAAGCATAAGCTTAATATACTTTATGCAAGGTTATAGTCAGAAAGTAACAATAATTTATTAGTTACGGTTTATTAATCCTAAGAAACTAGCTTTATTAAGCAAAGTACATTTGGGGGAAATACCTTCAATAATAGCCCTCGTGTGATAATACATAATTTATTTTGTACAGTTAATCTATCTTAAGTAACTAGCTTCACTGAGGAGAGAACAATATAGAAATGTCCTCAATAATTGCCCTCATATGATACTATATAATTTATCAATAATAACCTTCATAAGGTATTACATATATCTATCAATAATAACCTTGATCAGGTAGTACATATCTCTCTCGAATTATACGTTAAATAATTTTGAAAAACATGTACTGATCAAAGATTTTGAAATTTGCCTTATCGCCCATGAAATTTAAATTTCTTTTTTTTTCTGCTATTATTTGAAATATTACCGAGGTATCTAAATAATGATAAAGTTTATGTAACTTTGAATATTACATTTGATAGTGTTAAAACTCACATCAGTAGTTTTGGATTGTGTAAATTACGTGCTTATAGTTTTAAGTTAAACTTTGGAATTTAAGTGAGAGAGAAATCGGAGTTTAAATCAAGTCAGCGAACAATAAGAGTAACAACGAGGCAAAGCGAACCCAGTCTGTAATAGTTAATAAATGAGATCATGAAAAGAAGGTGCACAAGATTTTCACTCATTTTGAATAAAGATCCGACTACTCAATTGGAGAAGATGTTAGATAACTACCGTATTTTTTCGGTGTATAAGACGCACTTTTTAACCTTGGAGAAGATGTTAGATAACTACCGTATTTTTCGGTGTATAAGACGCACTTTTTAACCTTGGAGAAGATGTTAGATAACTACCGTA